CAAAATAAAAATGACTGGCGACGTTGTATTGACGGTTCTAAGACGAATTTGAGAGTTGTCTGACATCACAATGGTATCAAATATCTCTTCATACCTGTAACTTGTTCGGGAAGAAACGATATTTTTTGTAATTCATGTTATATAAACCTAATAAAATATAGACAGTCAAATTGAAAAGTGTGCTGCTATGCAGGTGATAGCAATGTTACTGGGATTGCAAGGTGGCTTTACAAAATATTGTTGCTTCCTCTATTTGTGAGACAGTTAAGCTGCAGAGAAACACTGTTTGCTTCCGATCAAAATCAATCAGTCATTTCAGAAACTACATAAGTCACTATTTTTTCGAAATGCAGTTTTTGCCGAATATAACATCTTTGGGGTAAACTCATGCTCGCTGCAAAAACTACATTCGCCTCATAATACTTGGTTGGAATTCTTACCAATGTCTTTTAGGAGTCCTAGCAAAAACAATAGTAGTCAGTGACTTATGTAGTTTTTGCGGTTATTTCTGCGCAAGTTCGCTGTACTATCGGTCATGTTATATCATCAGCCAACAGATAAAGTCGAAAACTCTCAGGAAAATGTATGTTGAATCAGACGATTGCAAATACGTCCTGTAATATTTAAGATTAATATTTATTTGTGTATATGTATTAAATGAAGTATGTATACCTACCTATATATACATATCTATACACCACATACATTTTGTTTGTTATGTTCAAGTTGTAACAATTCTGTATAATAAAAATTAAATTTTGCACTTATTACACAAACATAATTGTCATTCGCTGTAAAAACGACGTAAGTTAAAAAAGTTCTATTTAATTTTTTTCTACGTTGTTGAAAAGGAGGACCACAACATTATGTATAACATAATGCCATGAACAACAAAAATTGTAATTAGTAATCCTCTTTGTAAAACATTGCGTTTAAGAACTTCTTTCGTAGAGATCATGAATAAAATTGACAAGGGCTTTGTATATTATTGGTTAAGTGATACCAAGCTACAAAAAGGTAAAGTATCGCCAAAGTTATTGTGCGGTTATGGCTTAATTGCTACTCAACTTTTGGTAGATTCCACAGGTACGTCCTAATCAGGGTTGGGCAAAATACACTTTCTACTGTAATTGAAATACAAAATACAAAATACTTCAATTTAATGTATTTGAAATACAAATTACAAAATACATTTATGTCTTGTAGTTGAAATACAAAATACAAAATAGTATTTCAAATACTTTTAAAAATACAAAATATATTTTGTTCAGGACAGTGGCAAAAATAAAATTTTGATAGAAGTTCGTTCCTAAAAATTTTAAAGTTAACTGTCAGAATTCTTTCACTATCTTTATAAGTTGGCCCTGTTAAAGTCACTAGATCTACTATTACTTTTAGAAAGTACGGCAAACTGCCTGTGGTCGGAATTCGACAGAGAGGAACCTAACCTATGTGTTAAACAAAGATAGCGCGAGGCTAGTAATTTTCGCTATCTGTCAACGAAAGTTTGATGTGTTTACGATTTGAGGTTACGACAGACTGTACTAGAATTATTGAGTTAACGGACCGGAAAGAACATTATTCCAGTCACAAAGTAACTCCAGTCCTATTCAACGAGAAAGTGTCACCGGTAACCAGCAAACAGTCGTGGAAGACGTGTTACCACCAAGGCAATTGACGGCCAAATGACAGTAACAGGATCGCCATACTGGAAGCAAAAAATACCTGCTGTCGAAAAGACGGAGCATAACAAGGACACAGATATATTTCTATTTCATAAAAGTTACTAATTGCCACACATTTCAAGATCGAGTCACATTAGGCCCTGTTACATTCCATGTCCATCTAGTGTCAATTTGTCGAAAGTAAAACACGTCGTTAAAAATATTGTGACATTTCTTCTAGTTAATTTTATTCCTAGTTAGAACCAAACACTGCTGCCAACATAAATTGCGAAGTCCTCAACCGTCACTTAATTTCATATATCTAATAGTACTATATTGCTAACTGGCCTCAAAAGATTCCGAAAACATAACGGTAGAGCAATATATCGGACCTCTCTGTCTTTCTGTGGTACTAAACAGTACTGCGCATGCACTCGTACTTGGTTGATTTGTAGTGGATAGCGTGACTGGATGCGTTTTGACATTTCGTACTTTCGCTTCTATTTTGTGTACATGCGCACAGACCCTCGGTACTCTTAGAGAGAGACAGAAAACAACATCTTCTGTCTCTCTCTGTCTGTGAACACCGTTTCTATGTTATTTCTGAAGAGCTAGCAATATAGTACTATTAGATATATGCTTAATTTAAACTATGGCGCTTCTCTATGTTCTCTGTTACAACCATAGAATATCCTGTTACTTCTCGAAGTATACGAACATACACGAATTAACACGATCGCAAAACTGTTGTAATGAGCGCGCCGTAGTTTGATAAAATGTATTTCAAGTAATTGAAAATACAAAAATACAAGTTAAAATGTATTTGAAATACAAAATACAAAATACATTTGTGTCATGTATTTGAAATACAAATTACAAAATACAATTGTATTTCAAATACTGTATTTCAATTACAAGTAGTTCAAATAGTGCCCAACCCTGGTCCTAATAGAGCGCAACAAATCCTATTACTTGGGAGGACCGTTCCTAACAGTGACGTAGGCTTGTATTTGATAAATTTACACTTGAAATTTAGGTAATTTGTGAGAATTAGGAAGACACATTTTTAAATTAATTTCGAATTTATAAAAAAAAGTCATCAATTTGTACAACAGGAGCAACATTTGAGGCGTCAATTGTAGTTACGTGTTCCAAGGTCACCACATATTATAATCTTGAAAAAGACTGTCTTTATATAAGAAAGCAAAATGAAAATTGAATTTAAAATTTTGGAGCCTCTTTTCTTTTGAAAATATCCCGTGAGATTCGTAGGGCGGATAATCCTTGTGATAGTATTATCAAAGAATATTAGCAAGAATGAACAAGGAGCGACACTTGTGTCGGTGCTTTTGTTTTGCTGGAGTAACCTTATTTTCTTTTTATCATTTTCTAATGATTAAATTACTATGTGTAAAACCAACCTAACCTCTAACTAAAATCTACGTGTTTGTTACGAATGTTGTAGGACTACTTAATAATTGTGTATGAAATATGTGACGTCTGTATTACAGTACTGCGATGTACACTTACAGTAGACAAAGACAGAACAGTACGATATAGCTTGACTAGACACAGTTTGGTGAACCTGCGCAGTAGAAATTGCTTCCTCCTCGTGCGTGAGAGTCTGAGAGTGTTGTTTCTTGTTTATTCTTGTTAAATTTTTTTTGGTATTATTGTCTTCTGTTGTTAACTGAAGTAACCAGATTTCCAGATAACTGTACATAGCTAGCTGCAAGTAAATGCATTTTTAGATCATGAACACCCTTTCAAGCAACAACAGTGAGAGTAAAAATTAAAAAAAAATATTTCAATGCAACCCTTGACCGACCCAACCGGCTGTAAAATGCTGAAGACTAGAAGGTCGTAAACGCCCAATAACTTTGGCGATACTTTATATTTGTTGATTTAAGTTATTTAGACAGAACTTCCCTTGACCCTGAAGCACAATAAATTTTGTATGCATGTTAGAACGTATTAATATCGTATTTTTTTTTAGGTTAAAACTATCGATCTATTATTATTAACCGACACAAACAAGAGGGGTGATATATTTTGTCTCTCTCTGTGTGTCTGTGGCACTGTACCTCCCAAACAGATGAACCGATTTTAATGCGTTTTTTAACACGCTTATACATATTGGCTTCATTTGTAATTAATAAACTATGTAAACAAATCAAGGAAGTCGATTTTAACCTACTTCTAATTATGGTAGCGATTTGAAACTTTGCGAGGGTGTGTAATTTGAATGACAATACAGTAATTTGGTACTTTCGTGTAGTTGCCGTCCACTCTACTCTAAATTTTGCCATACTTATGTCACAAAATTTAAGTGCAATCAACTCTTGACAGTAGTCACAAAAGTTTGATTATAAAACTAGTTCAGCTATTTCAACATCATTCGTTCATATCATAACATTGTTGTGGAGGAATCAGCCATGATCGCTCAAAGATGAGGGATAGTGCGTCGTTCGTCGCAGTGAATCCCAACCAAATTCAGACTTTTTTAGGGTTAATTCTTTTTGTATCGCCGGTTTTAAGTATTAACACTTATTAAACTAGAGACAGGAGCATGTTACAATATAAATTTTAAGAGAAATTTACCTGGCATGTTTTGGCCGCAATGAACACAAATTTTGATTATCGTTTTACGGCAGTCTTATTTATATTAAAATTTTAGAGTACATGGTAGTTTTTCAGATCATGCCAAAGACAGAAAGAGGGAAACGGAAGACTGATATTTTCCTATTGTGTAAGCGGTGAAACATCAAAAAACATAAAATTAGATATTCGTCCAACGGTCGAATACTTCCCTAGTGTACGTTCAACAATTCCTTTACTTAGTAACTAACCATTAATTAAACTAAGTCAGTGATGTAAAAACAGGCCCGTAGGCAGGGATTGTGTTGGAGTAATTTTATGTTACTAAATTTTAATAAGTTGTAAATTTTTTGCAAATGTACTCTTGTTAGTTTTTGTATAGTTTGCTGTAGTTCCAAGAAATTTTTTTCTGGTAGTTGTTTCTTGTTCGTTCACAATTATTATTTATGTAATAGCTTAGACAACGAAAAATATGTTTTAAACGCCGTAAGATACGAGGGAAAGTGGTGTTTGCTCAGCTATTTGTTTTCATTTAAAATTTGTGCTTGTTAGTAAATTTTATAACATAACATTTTATACGTACCAGGGAGAATACAATAAAAAAGATACAAATATGATTTACATAAATAATGCAATGTTTTTAAGAATAGACGATATCCATTAACACTTCTCCCGTAAAGTTTGTTTACTTTTCTTTTGTTTTTGGAACGATCATTTGATTCAGAATTATTGTTTCAGCATTGTTTGGCGCGGGCCCTGTATGACAATATTCCGGATTCTCCAGATGAGCTCGCGTTTAGAAAAGGGGACACTTTGATAGTCCTTGAGCAGAATACAGCAAATATTGAAGGGTGGTGGTTGTGCTCTCTACGTGGACGACAGGTAATATTCAAACTCCTTATTTTAATAACAAATGAATTTTTTTTCGAAATTGTTATTTCCAGTAGTAGCAATCTAGTAGAGTTATGTGACAAAATAACCTGGGAAGTGAATATGTATGAAAATTTCACTTAAGTCTTACTTCTTAAATTACATACTTAAATAATTTAAAAAATGTTTAGTAATTCCAAACATCGTGTTTATAACTTTTTAATGCCTTTTGTTATTCGAATTCGAATTGCAAACTTGAATCATTCTATAGTTACGTGTGCGTAACGAATTTCACAACAATTAAAATGCGGAAAAGTGGAAGTCTAACTACGGATGGATTTTGGGTGCACTCAGAACTTGTTATCTATATTATCAGTTTTTAAAGTATTTTTTTAGGTGAATATGGATATCTTCGTATACACAACACACCTCAAGTTAAAATGTCGGACATGAATGTGCGATGAGCACACGTTTAAATAAATATTTATTTTAAGTAATAATTATTGGAACTAGGGATTTTTGCAATACCGTAAGAATCGATCGACACACGTAAACAAAGTAAATAGAAACGACCTTTTGATAGCAGTTTAAAATGTGAAAATGTGTAATATTTTTTATTAGTGATTATACCAAAAATTGCCAAATCGTGCGGTAGCGTACTAAAATCTACTTTTGATTTTTTTCAGTACATTCCATGAGCAAAACTAACCGTAAAATTTTCGAATAGAATTTTGGTACCTGATACGTGATACTTTGCACAAAATTAAATGTACCTTGTACTTTTAATTTACGTGAAGTGAAGGTTGATATGGTTTCTTTGGAAGAACTAACTACTAGAAACCGGACGAGTGCCAGTAACTTTCAGCTGGCCCATAAACTGGCGTCTTCACTGTATTTAGTAAGGGTTATGTTGCAGTTTAAGTAACTAAGCCAAAATTAGGGCAATGTGTGTACGTTAACAATTTTTTTTTTCAAAATTTTCCTCTGTCAAACGTGTCTGCAATTGTTGGGTTTTATATTTAATGTGTAGTATGGACGCCGCTGGATATGCGTGAATTAGAAGAATGAACCCTCTTTTAGCCACCTGAAGGCTAATAGCTTTGGTTGTTTGTCTGTTTATTAGCACTCGTCCGGTTTCTGTTCATCACAATTGTTTTTGCTATCTTTCTGCAATACATGGGTGATTTTAAAGACCTTGATATTTATATATCGATGCAATGCAAGGGGGGGGGGGTCTGCATATTACGTAATAGAGATTGTATTACATTACAAATAGTCTGATATTGCTCCTCACTCCATTTTTTATTAGAATGAAACAGAACTTCCTAAATATAGTTAAAATTATTAGATTCGCATTTTTATTTGCAGGGAATTTGCCCAGCGAATAGGCTGCGACTAATACCAGGAGTGTATGAAGACACTGGACAGACGAGAGTTTGTTCACCGCAGTTAACAGAAATATCCAGCGATTTTAGCTGTCTTCAAAGACAAGGAAAAAGAAGAAGTTGGCATGTGCAACCAAACCAGGTATGACTTTATTAATAGCCACTATTAATACGACGTTTTGTCGATTTCTGTTATATCATCGCGAAAATGCCAGCAGAAGATTCGTATTTATTTTGTTTGTTATTTTCCAGTTTTTCGATCGTTAGACGGAGGCAAAAAAATGTCTGTGAAAAAAATTTCTTATTGTAAAACATATTTTCCTATTTTAGAAAATTCAGTATTAACAAGATGACATTTTTAAAGACTGAAATAATTTAAAGCTAATTTAAAAATTTTCGAAAATATTTCAGAATTCTAGGTATATTTATTAAAAAAAGAAGACAATAGAATATTTTTTTCTCTGCAGCATCTGAAAAGTGTACAATTTCAACTTTCTTTTCACAAACTTAAAATTTTTGAATTATGACCAAACGGCTGAGTGAAGTAGGTGTGGTGACAGCAGCAACATTTTCTGTCTAGTACAGTTGGGGAGCATACATTTCAAACTAGCATTGTTAGACCGTTATTTTTGTGTCCAGTAAAATTGTATTGCCCTGAGAGATTGCAAACGGTATACACAAACCAGAATTCCATGCCAGGAACTTATTTTTAAAATTTCCACTAAACATTTAAAGCTCGCAATTTTATCTAAAAACAGATCTTACGTATAAGTATAGGTCTTTTGATATTTCTTTTCTGTGAACATGAATTCGGTCATTTTCAACCCCTATATTTTCGCCGAAGGGTAATCGGTGCGGGTCATTTTATAGTCGTCGCTGATATTTACCAATCCCTCATAATTACTTCTAATAATTTTCTGGATTTCTACGTTATACAGTCATCATATTTGCAAAAATGCAAAAAAGAGTAAAATTAAAATTTCCAAATCACGGAATTGTCAAAAATTTTAATGGTATATAGATATAAACTACATCAAATTTTCAAAGAGTTAAAAGGAAATCCACAGGTAAATTACGCTGAATACTCAATGAAATAATTTATTCAATGTCTCTGTATTACATGACACTGACAGGAACTTCGATTTCGTTTTATTAAATCGGATTAGTAAGATTAATATTATTCAGTCACTTTAGAGTATATCGGATGACATATTAGTTGTAGAAAATTAGTTTTATATTGTTGTGAGTACTGATTTATTTACAAAATTATGATTGATTTCAACTAGGCTATACTGCAATCACAAACATTTTATTTACTGTATCTTCAAAAATTAATTGTAATTAAAAAAAAAACATTCTATAAGGTATATGTATATATAATATGCATGCAAACTTATTCGAGGTGATTTATTTTGGTTTCTTTATATTGCATTGCATTCAACTAAACTTGGTTATTTCAACATTTCTTCGCCGCGCACGTGAGAAGTGTAGGCTAATTTTTAAACCGACTGGTACTGCAGGTTTCTCGTAATTGCTAAATACGGTATGCTTCGTCATTTTGCCTTCTCCATCCAAGCAGTAGTGGTTCTAGAAACCCGATCAATTTCTCTTTTTATAATAGTTTGATTGTTGTAGCTGTGATACGCAAAATATAAAAAGCCATACATCTGTATTATTTCATACTTTTTTGTCCTTCAGTCAGTATCGGTGACGGTAACTTAATAAATGGTACTTAATAGAAGATAATTTTATAATTAGCGAGTTTTTTTAAGAACATCTACCAAAGTTTTTGGAATGGCGAGCATACACTTCACTTATATTACCTATCTCTACATTTACGGATAGATTTCAATCTGCATTTTACAAATTAATTTTTTTTTTTTGGACTGGTGAAGTAATTACCAAATCCATTTTTCAAATAACTTTTATTATGCTTGCTAAAAAAAACCCTCGATATAATGAATTAATATTAAAAAAAAAAATATAATCAAAAATAAACACTATTAAAACTTTTACTTCTCGAGTATAAGCTAGGAAAGGAAGTATGAAAAAAATAGGTCTCCCGTTCCCGCCTGTCTGTGTCGATATTATTAGACAGTTTTACAATCTTACTTGTATTTAAGAACTGTATGTACATGTGTGGTAAAACGCTAAACAAAATTTGACTAATCATCCCCACTATCAATTTGATAACGTCATATCAAAATTTTGCTACTTAAATTTTATAAATAACACTTCTATACTTGTGGTTGGAGCCCGTTTGGACGTGGTGGGTCGTGGGTTCGACTCTCGCCAAAGTGAAAACTTTGCCTCTGTGTGTTTGTGGATGTTTTTGATTTTTTTTTTCAAATATGGTGTTGCCTGTTTAGACCCCCAACTCCTCTCAGGCCAAAAAAATGTGTACTTGTAGTTTATAAATAGGCCATTATATTTTACTATACAGGGTGTCCCAGAATTCGCGCCATTCCCGTGAATGACATGTTCCCTGTCCCGAACTGTGCCGTAATTCGCAAAAAGAATTGTCCAGGCTTTAACCGTGTGAGAACTGGAAGGCGATTAAGTTGACCAATAGAGAGGCTGCTTTTATATCCGAACGTTTCTATGTTCAAAGTTACCTATGCCAAGAACAAAAAATCGGGTAATACTAAAGTTGAATGAATTTTTTTCGAATCCCCCTCCGTCAACAAAAGGAAACAGAAGTGTGGTTATAAATTTAATCATTTTGACAATTGTTTGTCATAAACTGTCACGAAGTTCATCACTGCCCTGAAGAGACGCTTCTGCGCCAAAGATGACTGATTAATGTACACAGAGACGTCAAGGTTTACTTTAAGGCAAGTAGCATGGGACAGAAGTTATTTCTGCTGCCATTCTAGTTAAATTGTGTTTAACTGGGCTGGACATGTCATAAGAGAAGCTGTTTCATTTCATCGTAGGCAAATAATACACTTATTACTATTCTACATAGTGTAGATACCGAAGAGCAGGTATTAGAAGTCATTGTCTTAGAGCCCCGTGAATAATGTGTTGTTCTTTTAAATGAAAATTAGTACATTTTCAGAATTCACTATGCATCATGTCCCTGATATTAAGTTTATCGTTATTTCTAAAAAAGAGTACCACATGTCCATTCAAAGAACGTTATTAAGAGTACTAAAACATAAATATCGCTTTTGATTAATCGGTGCTTATAATTTTCAATAAACAGTAGGTATCAATTTTTACTGAACAACTTTATTGTTGTTGATACCTAATCTAAGCAACGAAAAAAGAGACGAGACTCCACTTCTCTGGTGTATTGAGATCATAGGTATCTGCTGTGGTGTCAATCATGTGGGGGAGATACTGAAAACGGAGACTTATTCAAGAATAATATTGATGTTGCACATGATGATTTAAAATAGTTTCTTTAAAGTTCTGAGTATTTTCTAGAGATTGAAAAGATACGAATAAAAATTATAACAAAAATCGTTTAGTTGAATTTTTTTTTAAGAACAATACAAACTATAAACAAATCAGTACCAATACCACTAAGTTATTGATGTCTTATTCATACTAGTATAAAGAATATTTGGAAATGATGTTAATTTATGGAGAATGTAAACGCTCTGCAGCCACTGCTGTGAGCGAATATACAGGTCTTTTCCCCAATCATCGGCTCCTTGACCAGCATGTGTTTCGTCGTTTGTTGCATCCAGCAAAACAAGATGGATCTTTTCAGCCTATTCGGAAAGGCCTTCCTGGGGCTCCACGGATTATATGCGTAGACGGTGAAGACCAAGTGGCACAAATGAATTGATGCTCAAGATCGATCATGCATCGTATCCTTACAGACAAAAATCTGCATCCTTACTATTGACGAATGTGCAGCATCTGCGACGAGCCGACTGCGCGACGAATGCATGTTGCTCAATGGTTAATGCGACAAAATGACCTAAATCCTGATTTTTCACGGCACATTCTTTTCGCCGACGAATGGTCATTTTACCGAAAAGGAATATTTAATGTGCACAATTGGCACTTCTGGGCAAACGAAAATCCACATTTCGCTAACGTGAGAGCATATCAAGAGCAATACCATTAATCTATGGGCTGGAATCGTTGTACTGTAACGTTATTAAAGAGTGTGCTCAAAATGACCACCATTAACTTCAATGTAAGTTCTAGCTCGTCGAATCATGTTGTGTTGTGTATTATTTAACATCTCAGGAGTAACTGTAGCGTAGGCTTCGTACAGTCTCTCTTCCAGTTCTTCTAACGTAGCTAGAGGTTCTCTATATACCTAATTTTTGATTTGATTCCAGGTAACACAAACGGCCCGACCTAAAAAACCAGGAACGGAGTTTAGTGATAATTTTATCAGATGCATTAAAATTTTTACCACAGTAGTACCAATGATTCCAGCTCATAGATTAATAGTAAATCGCTCCTGATATGCTCTCACCCTAGTGAGATGTGGATTTTCGTGTGCCCAGAAATGCCAATTGTGTGTATTAAACATTCCTTCTTGGGAAAATGAACATTCGTCGGTGAAAAGAATGCGCCGTGAAAAATCAGGATTTAGTTCATTTTGTCGCAGTAACCATTGAGCAAAATGTACTCGTCGCGGGTAATCGGTTGGTCGCAGATGCTGCACTCTCGTGTAATGGTAAGGATGCAGTCTTCTCTCTTGAAGGATACGATGAGTGGTCGATCTTGAGCATCCACTCATTTGCGCTACGCAGCGGACACTTCTCCTAGGATCCGCTTCCATGTTTTCTAACACTTGCTCTTCAGAACCTACACGTACATTCCGTGGAGCACCAGCACGGCCTTTCCGACTAGGCTGAAAAGATCCTTCTTCTCTTGCTCGATGTAACAATCGGTGAAACACATGTTGGTGTGGGTGCCGACGATTGGGGAAACGACCTGTATATTCGCGTACAGCAGCGGCTGCATTGCGATTGCACTCTCCATAAATTAACATCATTTCCAAATATTCTTCATTTGAAATCGACATTTTTTTCCTACAGTGCTTCAAAATTGTCTTGACAAGTTGACAAAATAATGTCAAATTATGGCCGGTCAACTGAAATTTTTGAACACATTCTCTAATACGTTTACGTCCAGTTTGATGTGTTATATCAGGACTTTTCGTATATT